CAGGAGTCGAGGTTTTTCCGACCCCGGCAGCCTGGCCGGGCCCTCCCTGCTCGTTCATTTGTTGCTCCTCGCAGCTCCCCCTCGCCGAGAGCCTTGCGGGGGTGGCCGAAGTCGACCCATCCCGTGCCTTGCTCTCCCCCCCTCGGTGCCATGGAATGGACGCCGGTCTAGCGCCGCGGTAAGCGCGGAGGCGGCCGCCCGCAGCAGGAGCTCGCACGACAGCTCCTCGCAAGCCTCCTCGGGTGTGGAGGCCGCCGCCCGCCACCGGAGCACCGCCCGCCGCCGGAGCGCCGTGCGGAGTGGCGGTGCGCGTGCGGCACGTGCAACTTCGAGACCCGCGGGGCGTGCCGCCAGTGTGGCGCCGCCCGCGCTGGGGCCGCTGGGGCGAAGGCGAGCTGCCCGCCCCCGCCGCTGGCTGCCCCTGCGGGCGATGCTGGCGCAGCCTGGCCGGCTGTGCCAGGCGCCCAGGGCCCCCGCCCAGGGGCCCAGGCGGAAGCCCTCCGCCAGGCAGCCGCCGCGGCCAGGCGCGCTGGGGCTCCGGTTGCGGCTGTCGAGCCGCTGCTGGCGGAAGAGCGCGCCGCGAGGCAGCCACCGGCGGAGTGCCGCAGCGGCAACCGCCTGAGGGCCTGCGGGCGGCGGCGCAGAAAGCAGCCGCAGCAGCGCAAGCCGCGGAGGAGGCGCTGCCACCTCGAAGACGCCCGCGCGAAGGCCGCTGCGGCCGAGGCGGCGGCGCGCGCGGAGGAGGAAGCGTAGCTGGCGGCGGCTGCAGGGCCGGCCGCGCCTCGGGCCGACGGGCCGGCGGGGCTGGCGCGGGCCGCGCGCCAGCTGCCGGGCCGCCTCGAAAACGGGGCGAGGGCCTGGGGCGGCGCGCCGGAGCTGCTGCTGGCGGCGATGGCGGAGGCGCACGCTGCCGTAGCGGCCGCGGAGGAGCCGGCCGCCTCCTCGCCGCCGAGGAGGCCGAGGACCTGGACGACGACCCGCTGCTGGGCGGCGACCAGATGCCGAGGAGGCGCTGGGGCGACCTTCGCGCAGAGGAAGGAGGCCGAGGAAGGCGCCTTGCCGGAGGAGCTCGACCGCGCCGAGGCAGGCGACGACGGGGCCCTCCTCGAAGCGGCCCGCCGCATGCGCGGGGCCCGCCGCGAGGCAGCCGCCGCCGCCTGGCCCGCTCGGCCCCGGCCGCCGCGGCGAGAGGACCGTAGCCGCAGCGCGGAGCGCTGAGACGCCTCTGCGGCTACGCCGGCGAGCGGGTCGGCGAGGCCAGCAACCCGGGGCCAGCGGTGCTGCTCTGCCCAGGCAACCAGGGGCCGCTGCTCGCAGTGAGGCGCCCGCGCCACGAGAACTGCGTTGCTTGCGGCGGGGGCGGGCCCGGCGGCTGGCTCCAGTACTGCGAGGACTGCGAACTGAGATGCCCGCAACTCGTTATGTGGAAGTTGTGGAAGTTGTGGAAGTCAATTTGAAGTTGTGGAAGTTTTTTGTTAAAGAATATTTCCCCTATCTCAAACCATTATATTCCCTAAGTTCCACCTGCCTTCAACCATTCTGATTCCTGTAATTTTTCAATTTACAAGAATCGCGCTGCGAATGCAGACTTTCGTTTTTTGGTCAGCCATTTTTTCCATGTTGCTGCGCTATGCCTGCCCCCATTTTTTTTTTTTTTTTTGGGGGGGGGGGGTGTTGTTGGTGTTGTTGTTGTTGTTGTTGTTGTTGTTGTTGTTGTTGTTTTCTGTATTTTTCGCCCAGCGCTTTGCGATGCCAGCGTTTGCCAAGCGCGTTGCGCTGCATGCGCTTCGCGCCCCTTCCAGCCAAGCGCATTGTGCTCCAGTTTGGATTCAATCATGCGCTTCCCGCTTTCCTGTACTCAGTTCAATCAAGCGCTTTGCGCTCCAGTATAAAAGCGCGTTGCGCCCCATTCGGGATTTCAAGCGCGTCGCGCCCCGTTTCTGCTAAGCGCGTTGCGCTCCAGTTGTTTTTCTCCCGCGTGTCCAGTTGTCTTTCTCGCGCATGTCCCCGCGCGTAAGTGCCATGGCGCTGTCCTCTTCTCCTCCTTCCTTTCCTCCTCCTCCGCCTCCTCCCCCCCTCCTCCTCTGCCTCCTCCTCCTCCTCTTCGCCCCCGCGAGCGCGTGGCGCTGTCCGCTTTAGCGCGGATCGCTGTCGTGCGCACTGCCGCCGTTTTGGCTCGAGCGCGCACGCGCTGCCGCGCGGCCCGCGCGGGCCTGGCGACTTGTTTTGGGCGGCGTCCGCGGCCCGCAGAGCCGGGCCGAGGGCCGCGAGGCCATGGGGGATCTGAGCGAGGATCTGCGGGCCCGCCACGGGGCGACAGAGCTGCTTCTGCAGCAGGTCCCAGCGAGTTTGCACGCTGCCGCTTCTGGGGTCCAGGCGAACGCGTTCAGATCGTCTGTGAGCGCGGCGACGGCCGCCCTGCGTTCGACTGGGGCGTCAGACCTGCTGGCTTTAGCAGCGCAAGTGGGCTTCGCTGCCAGCGATTTGGCCGCAGTGGTCGAGTCGCTGAACGCCGCCGCCAAGAATGGGGGGGGGGGGGGGGAACGGAATCCGACGCAGGATGTCGGCGCGGTTTTCGGGTAGTTCACAGGGCCGGCTGGGTCGCCATGTCGAACCGGCGGGGGCGGCCGCTAGAAGTCAGGGAGGCCCTCTTCGACCGCGTGGTAGCCTTGGGGGCGACGGCGCCATCGGAGGGCGCGAAGCGCGCCCTGTCGGCATGCCTGATCCTGCAGACAGGGGGCGCGACAGCGCACATCAGCTAGGCGAAGGAGATCCAGACGCATGACGCACTCAAGAGTGCTTGGGAAACACGGGCGCGGAAATTGCAGGCCCCCATAGATCATCGAGGTGTTGCCGCCGCCCCCGTCGCAGTGCGCGGAGACGCGCCCCGCGATCTTCGCCCGGGCCTGCGCCGATGGGGCGCTGCCAGTTTCGAGCAACATCGATGCTGCGATGATCGAAGCGATGGCCGCTACATTCAGCTCTAGAGGCAACGGGGCGACGGAGCTGGACGTGCCAATGTTGCACTTGCCTGGCGGCGCCCTGGGCCACCAGTTGCAGAGCGTGGCGAGCAGCTTCTCGCAGGGGCCCCAGCGGCAACCGGACCGACCAGGCCGCCCACTGGATGCAATGATGATGGGGGGACTGCCGCCCTTTGACGGCAGACGCTGCGGGTTGCCCCTCGAAGGCGCCGCGCGCGGCCGACGCCGTCTTCGGATCGACGACGGGCGCGTGCAATTCAGCGCGGTGCGGTCTCGCAGTGGCGAGTTCTTCGCCCTAGCTGACGCTAGCGCCGATGAGAGCGGCAGGGGCGCTGATGCAGCTGCCGCCTGCGACTGCGCTTGCTCCGTCGCTTGCGGCCGCTGAAGAGCCCGCGTCGCCGCCTGCGGCTTGTGCGCCAGCGCCTGCGCCTTCTGCGATTGATCTTCTGGACCTCGTGGGCGAGGGGGCGCGGGGGAGAAGCTGAAGGCCAACAAATCGAGAAGGCGAAGGCGAAAGTGGGGGGGGGGGGGGGCGGCGGCGAGGGCTATGACGGAGGAGGCGACGGCGGGCGCGAAAATGGGTGGGAAGCCGAAGGCGAAGGCGAAGGCGAAGGCGCAGGCGCAGGCGGAGGGGAAGGCGGCTGCGAAGAGGAAGGCGGGTGCAGCGAATGGAAGCGCCTCGGAGACTGAAGTGGCGTCGGAGGATGGGGGCGAGGCGGTCGCAACCAGGGAAGTTCGTGAAGAGCAAGAAGAACATGCGCACGCTTACCAAGTCGCTCAAGCACCATGCGCCTGCTAAGCCGAGTCCAGGGACCAGCGAGGCGCGATTTGACGTGGGGCGCTCGCGCGAGAACGCGCAAGTGTTGATTTCGAAAAAGAGCGGCGGGATGTTGCGCGAGGGCTTCCGATGGGGAGAAGCGGGGGGCCGCGAGTTCAAGACGATTGCCGCGGCGATGTCGGCGGCGAGGAAACGGGTCTCAGACGGGCGCAAGTAATGCGGAAATTCAGCGATGCTGGTGGAGCGACCGGGCCGCTGGTGGCCTG